CTTTATAATATTTTCAAGAATTGTCTGCCATTGTTTTACTAGTCACAAGACTCCCTTGTTGACTATTGCAGCTCGATAGATTCATTCAATGCTTTATTTCAACTTACTGTATCGTTATCGAGACGTATTGTTGGCTGTTGTAGGAAAGTGAAAGTCTGTTAGTAGTCCTCTTGCTAGCTCTGCCGAATGACGATGGGTGTTTGTTGAACATTTGGTTTACGCTGGTCTAACCTATATGAGGTTAGATAGTTGTTTTTTTGTAGGAATGGGGATTAAATAAGGCATCAACACAAAACAAAATATAATTTATTAAATATGGGTGTAGAAAATCGTGAATTGGCACTATTTATAACTACTCGACTCGAATTTTCGAATTTGAAAAAACTCGAGTAATTACTCGAAGGTCGAGTACTTGCCCACCCCTAATGTTAACACACCATACCAATGTTAGCCATCAAATTTTTCATATGTATTGTTTTGTTAGAATTTTTAGCATATTAGCATATTATTGTAAATGGTTGTTACCGTCAAATAAATAAATAAATAAAATAAATAAATAAATCATTAATTTCTACTTTCCAAGGATATAATTTCAACTTGAGTAATCATCTATGAGAAAAAAATAAAGACAGTCATATGAGCAAGGTGCCGTAAAAAATAGTCGAATCAACAAATAAATATCAATATACGGGGAAGCGGATTTTTATCCCCCTGGGCAAAACTGACGTCAAAAACCAGGGGGTAAATTTCCACCCGCGAACTATTGAGCTGCACATCAGTTTCGATGGATTAAAGTTGGAATGAAACGTATATTTTCACGTTTGTGAATTTAATCAGAACTAGGTAGTAAACCTGTGCTCCGCAACGGGAATATTGTTAGCAATAAAAAACTTAATAATGAATTAACAAATACTGTTTATCTTTGTATTTTATTTAGGGGCTACTTAATATTTTACATGAAATAGAACTGATAGTTGTTTATATTAATTCGAGTTTCATTTGAAAAATTAATAGTATACAAACTGTGCAATGCTGATAACCTAATAAGCAGCTACTTATGCTATAGAGATAATTTGTTCATGTATATTCCTATATTCGTTGTTTTTTGTTTATTACATTTGTCGTATGGAATAAAGATAGTCACTTACATGTAAATCACGCATCAGCAGTTGGTCGCATTTCACAAATCTTTGACCCATTCTGTGAGTAACAGCTGTGATTACGTCGCATATATAAAGCTGGACATACTTTGGTTCAATGTTAGAGGGTATTAACGGTCCAATCCGATGGTAAAAGGAGTTCCGGATCTTGAAATTATATAGACTACCACTATCAAAGAAAACTACAACATCCGAGGCTTCAACACTTGTGAAACGAAGAACATTATCTACCAACTACAATGTAACAAATGTGAGGCACAGTATGTAGGCCTATCCACCAATAGCCTCAGAACCAGGATGAATGGCCATAGACAAGATGTATCTACTGGATACAAAGACAAACCAGTTGTACAACATGCCCAGAGCCACAACAACCCTAGTTTCAATGACTGCTTTACAACCAAAATAGTCAAATCACTGCCTCCTCAATGTAACCAGTCACAACTGAGAAGATGGGAATTGTCTTATCAATGGTTTACTAAGTCTAGACAACCCCCAACCCAAACCTAAACCTGAGATAATACCTTTCATCTAACCCACTCCACTTCAATATCCAACCCAACTAGCAGGCTTACATATTTATTCATATATATATAGTGCATATAAGATAAACTGAAACTGTGTTTTTTGAATTCATACTATTGGCAACACTGACTCAACAACTCACTGGCCACCATTTTGGACATCTAGAAAACTCTCTCTTCCTTAGTTGAAAATGCTGTCAGTGACAGTGAAATATTCTAATGTTTTGTGTATATAGTGTAAAGTTTTGTTTTGTGTTTCCTGTGCCAGTTTGGACTCTTTCCCATTCAGGTAAGCCTGCTATCCTCTCAAAAAATCCTAAAAAATCTAGGCCCTTGTGCTCTATGCTACACCCTTAACTATTAGAAAGATGTTGATTCAAGTGAGACTTAGAACTCACCATTTCAAATGCAGAGTTGTATGATATTATATTATTAAAATAGTTTTTTCAGCCCCGTTGATAAGATTTTTCACACTCAAAATGTTGATAAGGAACTCATTTTACCTTACCCTTGTGACAACATAAGGAAAATATATTTGTGTCCCTGTTAGTCTGTTCTGACTCGTAATTCGTATATTTGCAGTAGTGACAAAACAAATTTAACGACCCCAATTCAAAAAAGAGTTGGTGTTTTTTGTAGGGACTTCCAGAGCACATTTAACACCATCACTGCTCTTTACTTTTTTAGTTCGATGGTTCTCTACATGTTTTTTCGTTCTGTATATTTTACGCCCGGTTAATGATTACTTTTTCTTTTTCATTTTGTACTTTTTACACCCTGGGTTTAATGATATAGTTTTATAACGCTGTAATGACCCGAGTCAACATTGCCCTTAAACATTAAGTCACATACTTCTTTGCCAGAACCGAAATCGCAAGTGTCACAGTTTCTCAAGCAACTTTCCTGTGTACTTTAAAAAAAGTTAGGGTATTATAGTTTACTGATAAATTGTAACTCAACGTATCCCAGCGTACTCTCCATCTCGAGAAGGTAAAATGTGGTACTGCTGAACGTCAAACACTGATCTTGAGTAAGATAAATCACTTACGATAAAATGTTTGTATCTTTCCCACTCATTAGCAATTATCTGTACAACTTGCAAGTGCATTTCCCAATGATTGTTCTGGTGGCAATAGAGAATAAATTATATTGATCAAAACAATAAGTTTCCGTCCCCTATTATGGGTATTATTTCACATTCCATACTCAAACTTAAACCATTGACCATAACTTACCATAGTTATGGTATATAATAGCCAATGCTTAAACTCAATTACCACTTTCCTTCAGATAAATTCGCAGGGAAACTAAAACATTTCAAAAATGCAAAATTTACACCAAAACATACAAATAATGTTCAAATACATTTATAAATAATACATTGTGGTATAAAAAGTTAACAAATACACTTTTCCTTGATCAAAATCGTGTGTTTATAAACAGGAACTCGTAGATTAATAATTACATTGAAAGTGAGGTTATAAAAATAATAACAAATGTCTGACAATCATTAAACAGCTGACAAATAATTTATAAACTGTGTATTATATTCTTCAATAAGAATTGTATTGACTCGACCTTTGAAGGGCTGTAGGTCGTAGCCCTTAGAAAAAACATAGATCCTAAGGAAGTTCGGCAAATCTACACACTATCCCCTTTAATTTGAGACACAAATCTTGTAGATCGGTCCAGTAATGACTGAGAAAACAGACTTACAACTGTGTATTAAATATATAGATATGATACATCAAATTATAAAAACCAAGAGTGTACGGGACGATATATAACCCCCGGACTTTTACCCCTTTCATGAAGTCAGCACAAAATGTATGGCCCGGATTTTTACCCCTGGAATTTTACCCCCTGGCTGGATATAGAAATAAGTGAGGATGATTAATTTTCTTCTTTCAGTTTTAATTTAATAGTAAACATTTTATTATTAAGTAGTTTATCTTAATTTAATTGTTACCTTAACTAATCTGTAACCTTAAAAACAAAAAGAACTGGCAACTTCAGGATTGCAAGGTAATCCTCAAATAATCTATCACTATCATTGATTTTATTTAAGTACATTCAAACAACTTGTAACTTCTGAATATAGTGAGAGTTAAAAATGTCAATATTGGAAATTGATTAGGTGAGCAAATATCCGAAAATTTTGGTCGGCTGAGCTGCCGCGCCCGTGTCGTGTCGTCGACCGTCGTGTCTCAGTCTTTCGTCCGCTCCGCTTATTGACGACAAGTATGAAAGTGGGGAATGAGGTGTTGAATGTGAAATGTTTCTTGATCAGCATTTTCTTACAGTTAAGGAGGATGAATCAGGTAATAAATACAAACTTACTATAAACTTTATTACACAATCACCCATATAAGCTAATTTACTAGTTGGTTAATTAACCTATAACCTTAGTTAGGGCTTGTGGGCTATGCCTAGGGCTAGGCTGGACAAATAAATAGGCCAGTTTGACCCCCCCCCCTCAAAATAGGCACGTTAACAATAACACCGGACTAAACTGTCAACATTAACGACGGGTAGTATAGGGTTGTTACCCATCTGGTATAAGTCTTAACCACTACGATTGGCGAAGGAGTTGACTGTGAGATGACCGGTGAAGAAGTGAAGCCGCCTGCCCCGTCCTCAAGTGTGCACGTTGGTTACTCAACCCGAGAACTGCCAACACCATGAAAACGGAAAATTTCCGTTTTGAATCCCAAAAGCGTTGCGGTAGTTCTCAACCCACTCCAACTTGCTGCGCAGGATACCGATTTGTGTCTTGAATCACCCTTCGTCTTCCTCAACAACAAACACGGCTCTCATCCCGCCATATATCTTGGAATATATTACAATTAATTGTTTTTTTAAACCATTTGACCCTAATTTATCCACCATGTTACCTAACTCAAACATCCATTATTGAATTTAATATTGATAATTTATTTAACTTAATTACTGTTCCGATAATTAATCATTTGTCTATGTTCGATTATTATTATTTACTGGACCCGTTACAATACGTTAGTGATAATTAGGCTTAATAAAATAAAGATATAAAGCGCCAAAGAGCAAAAAAAATTGAAAAGCAAAAATTGGAATGGGTAAAATAAGAACAAGAAACAAATTACCTTTGACTTAAAAATAAAAAATATCAAAAAATAAAAACATAGAACTTAAAACACAAAAATTAAAACACTTGACAGTACAAAGTAACTTACTTACGAATAATACATAACAGATGGACGAATATAATCAATTAAAATCAAAACATACTACATAAATCAGCTTTGGTAGATATATTCTGATGTACTCATGTTTACAGAGAGAATGCAGAGAAAGCCATTCGTCTGATGAAGCAGCTGCTGCCTGAGGAGCATCTGATGCTGGCATCTGCACAGAGAGTGCATGCTCTCATCCTGGAGGAGATTGCTCTGGACAACATCCCTGGAACTAGCTACGCCACATGTAAGTTATTCTCATAATACATTTTTATTTAAATATGTAGAATGTTTTTCTTTTTGTTGTATTTTTCATTTTTCAAATTTAGTCAGTTCTTACATTATTTATTATTATTTTAATTTTTTGAAGGCTAGAGCTAATGTGACTTATCACTCGCCACTCAGAAAGTAGATGCTACTCTGTTGTACAAAATTTATTTCTTCCTTTGTGTAGATTATAGCTTTGTACATAAATAAAATCTTCTATACCTTTTTTAAATCTTTGTCATAAATTACAGATAGACCCATAAATTACACTATCCATAGTACAGTAAATATGTTCCAGAAAAGAGCCACAAAAGGTGTAACAATATAAAGTGACGACTAATATAATTAATATACTGCCACCGTGTATGCAAAATTGCACAAACGGATAAAGGACTAACTGAATAGTAAATTTCAGATTGAAATGCTTAAGAAAAAGGAATCAGAATAAAATAATGTTTTGCTAGTTTTTCCATATTGAAGGATTTTAATAGTTTTCAATATTTATTTACTATTGTTTGGTCTCTACAACAAAAATATTTTTATGTTACAGCAACAGAACTGCTGAAAACTGCGGAAAAGTTACACAAAAATGCTTTGAGACTAACTCGACTTTCCTTTGGAGAAGACAATGTTCAAACTGCAAAACACTATGGCAACTTAGGCCGCCTGTATCAGAGCATGAGGCAATTTAAGGTAACATACACAAATTCTGTATTCTCTACGAAGAAGTAGGTTCTTCTTTAGCTATGTTTGTAACTTTTTGGATTAAATAATTTATGAAACTGACAGAAAATATAATTTAATTGGAATGAAAAAACACAAGTGTAAAGTTCAAAAACCAGTGAATGAACTAATTTGGTAACTATGGAAACACATTAGAATAAACAAAAACAAAATTTATACTATTTAAAACAATAATCATTGTAAGCTGGTATTGAACAGTTTATTGGTGCACTCACGACAGTACCCCCCCGCTGTATTTTTATTTCAGGATTAGTTTTGCCAAAAGTGTAACTTGGAGGCTTCTGATTGGCTGTGGGAACACCATTACCAAAACGATACGATGGGACAGCATCGGCCTCGGTGGTCTAGTGGACAGCGTACTGGGCTGATAATCTAAAGGTGCCGGGTTCGAATCCCGCTGGTAGCACTAACTTTTTGTCTAAAATTGTTTCATTATCAGGGCTGAAATAAACATTTTGCGTACCCCCCGCCTAATGATTTAACTTAAGTAAATCATGATACTTTAAATCGTACAGGAAAGCGTACATGTCTTCCAGATTTTGTTTTAATCGCTGGTTTTAATTCCCTTGAACTAGTCTTGAATGGTTGCTTGGTATCTTTTGGACCATCCATGCTTGATTTGTTGCTTCCTGTATTATTTGATGCACATCGGTTGCCCTTGTATTCGGCCCAAAGGTACGCCGGTTTGAGTCGGTCCATCGATACCATGACATTACAGCCTTTAAACGCCACAACGTCAGTCTTGGTAGTTCTGCTGATAATAGGGCAAGGGCCAGAGTATGGGGGTTCGCTAAGGGGCATTGCTTTGGGGGTTCGAAAGCTCCCTTGTGGATGTCAGTCTGCACAAAGACATGTGTGCATGTAGCGAGGTCCTTATAAATGTATGGCGTCTTCTCACCATGTCTAGTTCCACTGACTGGACGCAGGTTGTTGAAGTGCTGACGTAGGCTCTTCACAAAGCTTGGTGGGTCCAGTTGATGTCCATCTTGGCTGGGTGTCATAAATTCTCCAGGAAGTCGTAGAGTTTGACCATACACGAGTTCTGCAGAGGAAGCTTGAGTATCTTCACGCCACGCAGCTCTGATCCCCATCAGGATCACTGGCAATACTTTGGTCCAACGATCTGTTGTGTGACACCTTATGGCTGCCTCGAGTTGTCGATGAAAGCGTTCAACAAGTCCATTGGCAGCAGGGTGATAGGCAGTCGTTCGCAGACGTGTTGATCCAGTTAAAGATGTTAGGTGTTGGAAAAGAGACGATTCAAATTGTCAACCTTGATCTGTGGTTATTCGCAGTGGTGTTCCAAACCTTGAAATCCAGTTGGTGAACAATGCACGAGCTACAGTTTCAGCTTTTATGTTCTCAAGTGGAACTGCTTCAGGCCAACGTGTAAATCTGTCAACACAAGCCAACCAATTTAACCTGTAACCTTCCGAAACAGGTAATGGGCCAACTAGGTCAATATGGATGTGTTCGAATCTAGAAGATGGTGGAACAAACGTACCAACTGGGGTTGAACCACGGCCTCCTTTAACTACAGGCCGCGGCGTTTGAAGTGGCAATTCAATTCAATTCAAAACTACTTTATTCATCTCTTGTACAAAATACATTGAATAGTGTCAATACACCGCATGGGATGGCTGAATGGCTACTGCTACTCTACACCACTGAACGCTCGCGCTCGAGCCGCGGAGGATTGGAACAAGCACGCAAATTATCTATTAATTTAGATGTTTTATATCTGACAACACTGATGTGTAGGAGAAGAAGGAGAGAATTATACGAGGCTTTCATGTCAATACCAGAATATAATTCAATATTTTCTAAAACCTCTTACGGTACATTGAACATATAAGTATTAGGCCTATAATTATTGTACTTTTCTTTTGTCTCTTCTACGTATTTACTCTATGATTTATTATTCGTTAAACACTTAAAATTTAAATCCTATTTACAATTTTATTTAGTTACAGCTTCTACGTAAGCTATTGTTTTATCAATTACTAGGCCTTTACAAACAAAGTAAAAATTTCCAAAAGCAATAAATAATATTATTTTGTTCAAGAGAGGATTGCAATTTTTCTATGGTTACAGTGCCTATTATTTTCGTCTTTTTTTACTTTCGTGTAGTTATTTAACAAAATATTGCTCATTCTCAAAATAATTTTGGACACCATTTCCTTTAAATTTACTCCACAAATACATAAGAATAGTTTCAGCTATTTCTGAAATATCAATATCTGACATTAAAACCACTGTCACTAAAAACCAGCCAACACAGAAGAACAACTGCATGCTAATTATACATACTTACTTACTGGAGTGACCACTGGTACCCTAAGAGGCGAAACGGCACACGGAAGATTTCTCAGGTGCCGTTTGACGTCACTAACTGCTGACGTCACTTTGAGGGAACACCAATACCGCAACGATACGGTTTTGGGCAATCGGCCTCGGTGGTGCAGTGGATAGCGTTGCGGGCTGGTAATCCGAATGTTCCGGGTTCAAATCCCGCCGGCGGCACTAACTTTTTATCAACAATTTTTTCATATCAGCAAGTTTGGTTGGTTTGGTTTGGTTATGACAGTTTAATTTTATAATAAAAAATTATAAAATTGAATTTTAGGCATTTATAATATTTTATTTGATAAAAAAAACTATTTTTTAGATTAGTAAACCTTTTTTCGATTTTTCCATTATCAGCACGTTTGGTTAGGTTATGACAGTTTAATTTAATAATAGAAAATTATAAAATTGTCTGTTTCTTCAGGCGCAGCAGTTAGTGACGTCAAACGGCACCTGAGAAATCTTCCGTGTGCCCCACCGCCCTAAGAGGTACTTGGCCTCGCCCACACACTGCCTCCAGATGTCTTTGTCTTTGGTGTCATTTTCACTCCTTCCCAGTCTTCTTACATCTTTTTGTACTTGATCCTTCCATCTAAGTTTGGGACGGCCTCGTGGTCTCCTGCCTTCGGGGTTTCTATCAAGTACATTTCTCGTAGTGGAGTCTTCCTCTCTTCTCGAAATATGACCAAATCTCAATCTTCTCTTCTTGACTTCCGCTATGATGTCGGGGTCTTTATAGCGCTCTCTAATCTCGATGTTGTGTCTCATTCTCCATATTCCATCTTCGAGCGTCGGGCCATATATTTTCCTGAGAACCTTGTTTTCAAATGTTATAATTTTCTTTTCTATTTTTTTGCTCATTGCCCATGTTTCTGAGCCATACAGTAAAACCGGTCTTATTATTGTTTTATAAATACGTAATTTGGTATTGTGGGATAATAATTTTGAGCTTAACAATCTATTGCATGCATGGAGGGACCTGTTAGCCGAATTTAACCTGTTTATTACTTCCAATTCTTCATTATTGTTGTCTGATAATAGGACTCCTAGATACTGAAAACTATTTACTTTCTGAAAAGAGTGGCTCTCTATCTGTAAGATATCATCATCATCTTCATCATTTTCTTCTCTACCATCCCATCTTCCGCACTTCATGAATTTTGTTTTACTGTCATTAATTTGTAAGCCAAATTTTCCTGTTTCTTCTACTAGTATTCTAATTAATTCTCTGAGATCATCCTTCTTGTGTGCCAATTATACAATGCTAATTATACATGCTGTCGCTAATTTTAGTTATTCGCTAATTCCCCCTAATTCAATCAGGATGGTGGTCGCCACGCCGCTATTGGTTGATGAGCGCTAAGTTTAAAGTTTCCGCTAGCCCCGCCTTCCGATTGTCTGTTGCAAGAATATTATGAATAGATTAGTTATTAATAGTGTCGCAATAACAGAATGAATGAAGTAATATTTTTATTTCTCATAATACTAGATAATAACTTAATAAATAACTTAGTAAATAAAACACATACTTAAAATTCATTATAAATTTAACAGCAAAATTATTAAAACTAAAATTAAAAGACATTTATGTTTTAGGCTTCAGTATTTAATTATGAAGACATTAAAGTTGTGCAGTGTGCACCGGGTACATGTAAACTTGTTGGTTGGATTGTAGTAAATTGTTAACCTGTCTTCAAAATGCATTCAATGCTGTAAGGCTGTAATAATAATATTACAATAACTTATTAATAACTTATGTAATAATATTACTTATTAATACAGTAATAATATTACTACGGGAAAATATAAGCAACACGGGTAGAGCTTTCAGTTATAGCTGGGATTCTGTACTGGTTTGGGAATGTATATTAAAGCAATATTTGATACAAAAGTAATGTTTTTGAGGATAACCAAAAGGTTTATTAGCCTGCTTAAAATAATTTAGTTGGCCTAGATTAATAATTATTAGCTATGCGATACTACACTCTCAGCTTGTGGGGCAGCACTACTCGCCGTGCCGCGACATAAAACTGAGATTTGGTCACTCTGTTCAACCCAAAATTTTAACAAAACTAAGCATGATAGAAAGAAAAGTTAAATACAAACAGTAAAGTATATTTAATTATCTCAGGGTGTCTAGTAGTCGGGAAAGTCGGGAATTAGTATTGAATTTCAAAACGGTCTTGAAAAGTCGGGATTTAGTCTTAAATTTGATTTCAAAGTCGGGAATTTTCATGATTTTGCCGCGATCGTCGTCTTGCGTTTACGTAACCGCGAAAGCCAATGATGATGATGTCCACACGGCCTCGGAAAATGTTCACGATTTTGCCGCGATAGAGGACGACGACGATGACGTTTCCGAAACCACGAGAGACGACGATGACGTTTCTGTGACAGCGGGAGACGACGATGACGTTACCGTGACCACGGGAGACGACGATGACGTTTCCAAGACCGCGGGAGACGACGATGATGTCTACACGGCCGCAGGAAATGTTAATGATTTTGCCGGGATTGCGGACGTCGACGATAACGTTTCCGTGACCGCGGGAGATGACGATGATATCTGCTCGGCCGCGGGAAATGTTCATGATTTTGTCGCG